TGATTACAGCCTTGGGATCTTTGCCAGGAACTGCTTTTTGTTTTTGGTGTTTACATATGCAGGTTTTAACTGATCTTTTAGGCCAGAGTTCCTCAAACTGTGGCATCTGAGCTTTTGAGGGCCTGGCACAGAGTGAGGGTGAGAATTGATGCTCACAGTGCTAAGGAGACAGAGACAAATGAAATGTGACCCTGTTGTGGGTTTTCCAAAGCACTGAGGTGTTCCTGAAGATGGTATCATCATCTGTATAGTCCCCACTTGTCCCCAGTTCATTTGAAGATGTGATGTGTATTCATACCTGACCTGTGCTGGGCACATGCAGATTTCTTTGTTCTTATTTGCATGCTACAAGGCTGCTCACTTTGTGGCTTAGCTTTCCTCTAGGTAAGGGAGCAGTGGTGGTTTTAAAGTCACTGAGGGTTTAGCTTTATCTTGCTTGAAGAAATGTGATCAAATTTTCAATCAGGATAATATATGTCTGATCTCTGCAGGTCAAAGAGAAAGCAGATGTGCTTAATCCCTTAATCACTGGAGTGTTTTTGGAGGTCAGTTATGCTAACGTTAAAACTTTAAGCTAATACTTTAAAAATAGATGTGCTGCTTCTTCCTACTTTAGGATCCTTATGCATGCCAAGTTCTCTAACCCATGGTCTAAAATTGTGCTTACCTGTCTAATAACTTGAAAGTTTTGATAAATGTCTGTAGATTTGCACAAAACATGAGTTACTTAGTGAAGAGTGAGTGTCAGCTCACAGTTATGATGGGTCAGGAGACACATGTTAAATTCAGCAGTCTGGATTTTTTAGCATTTAAATGTCCAAATTCAAATCTTAGACAAGTTCAGAAATTAGCATACAAGAGTCCTAACACTTCCTTACTGTTAAATTGGTTCTCAAGCTTTCAGAGCTCTGAGGTGTGGTAGGAAGGGGGCATTTCATGTGCTCTTCCTTCCTGCCACAGCATGCTATGCTTCACTTAGAAATAAACTCTTTTCTTCTCTTACTGAGAACAGTATCCTGCATTTGGATTGGAACTGATCTTGTTTGGCAGTCTTTAAGCCATTTGCTTTTTTTTTGCCTACTGGCATAAAGCCCCTCAAAAACTTGACATAAAATTGATTTCTAGAATGAAGCCTTTAAAATCCAGCAAGCACTAGGCTTCTGTTTTTTCTGTGCAATAATCAATGCTGTTTGAAATGAATATGTGGTGAGTAAAGCTGATTGGTAGCATGGCTATTCATGTGTGTATTTTGATTTTTTTCCACAGGCTTCAAACAGTGCTTCCTATATCCAAGATGCCTTCCAACTCCTGCTGCCTGTGCTGCAGATCTCTCTTATTGAGGCTAGAACGGAACTATCACAGTAATAAAAATCCTTCTAATTAAGAACTTTTTGACCTTCCCAGTTCGTAGTTTCCATGCTGGAGAATGATGTAATGGCTCTTATTAAAGGGAAAAAGATGAACTCTGCTCACTGCTGCTGCAAGAATGGTGATTAAGTGCAGTCTGGCAATGACAGCTCTTACAGCACACTGAGAGATGTGATTAGCATAGTCCAGGCTGGTGGACAACGTGACAGACTTAAAGTGCAGATTGCTTCTCTGTTTCATGGACTGTCTGTGTCTTTTCACTGAAATCTCTCTGCTGTATGTGTTAACAAGCTCTTTGTGTTCACAGTCCAGAGAGCTTCTCCAGTGCTGAAGAGAAGAGTAGCAGCTGGCTAGTTAGTTAGCTAAAATCATGGTGTGATTTTTAAGTCAGACATAATTGGGTTCCTGATAGCTCTGCATTCCTGTTGGAGTGAATATTAGATAGGAGGTGCAAGAAGAGGCAAATTTTTGTCATTATGAACCTTGCAGTTCCTAGACTGGGCAGAACAGAGCAGAGAGAATTCCCGATCAGGCTGTTGCTGGAGAGAAGCTCAGCTTCCTGAAGATGCCTGTACTGACTCAGGGATGTGGGACAGGGACTCTCACCAGGGGGCTGTTTCTCATTCTCTCATGCTGTGCTTGCTTCAGCACAAGCTGGGAAAATGCTGATCTGGCCCTGAGAATGCAGGTACTTGGCTTTATAGCAATAAATGAGAACTGACTAAAAGGGATTGATTCGTGTTTGGGCACTTTAATGAGAGAATTCAGCAGGAGGATTCCCATTTTTCAGTGCAGCTTGACATGTCAGCCACAGACTGTTCACAGACTCACATACTGCTTGTCTTCTTTCTGTGGAAAAACACTATAATGCAATGCTCCTTCTTGGAAGGTATCTATTAAAGCAGGGAGAGAGGCAGCAATTTGGTTCTGTTAGTAGGAGTCCTAATTTGCCTCAGAAGCTGCTCCATGTATGGTATCTGTTTCTTTGTGCTGTGCAAGTTCCCTGCTTTGTTCCTTTATCTTTTGAGCCTGCCCATGGGGAGGCAGCAGCCTCTGTTGGAATCACAAGAGCAGAAATGCACAGCTAAAATGGAATTTCAAGAAGTCCATAATAGCTAATCAGAGGTGACTGAGTGTCACACCTGCCTCTGCACTTGCTCATTGGTAACAATGATGCTCAAATCCCCTTTTGAAAATCCTCTGGGTTTTAGCAGGTCTTGCACATCTCTGCTATGCTGAAGGCTTAGAACATTCCTCTGCTCTAGCTGGGCAGTAGAGAAATGTTTTTTTGTATTAGAATACCTTTTGGCTAATGCTCTGATTTTATTTATATACATGGAAAAAGCCCTGCCTTAGTCATGGTTAGACTGATCAGATCTCAAAAGGGAAAGCTTTTTCTGGCATCTTAAAACTGGACTTGAGGGTGTCTGGGGTAAAAAAAATCTGCAATAAAATCTGTATTTTTTTCTTCTTTTGGTTGACAGCATTATAAAATAAAGGATTTGTTTTGACAACTGTTTCAGTTAAAAACTATCATGGTAGCAGTGGGCAAAAATGAAATAAAAGAACTGTGGGGTTTTTTTCTCAGCCCTGATTGTGTTTTTTGGGGCAGAGCTGGGTGCAGCTCTGGGGCCAGGGCAGCTGGAACTTTTCTCATGGCAGAAAACAGTGCTCTGAACCCAGGCTGGGAGTGAGAGCTCCCACAGAGGAGCTCCCAGTTCCTGTGTCAGTGCAAAAAGGCAGCTTTGCTCCTGCCAAAAAGCCAAAATGTACAGCACTGTCAGAAGAGAAGAAATGAAGGTAATGGAGTTTTATGAAGCAGCAGCTGCTTTTTTGCAGATAAATTCTACTGACCTGCAGTTCTTTAGTGTAGAGTAGTTTAATAATTAAAGGAAATTAGGTGATTTTTTTTTAACATGCAGACAGTAATTCCTTCAGTCATGTGCCACCTGGATTTTGTTATAGCAGCCAATAATCAAACGTGCACCAGCTTCATTTGTGTGCCAGTGCAAGGACTGCAATAGACAAACAAAAACAGTTAAAAAAATGGTTGCTGAAGTCTTTCTACCCAAAGGATTCATCAGAATTCAGCATCCAACTGTCTGGAGGTCTTCCTGCTTGGCCTTGCCTTCTGTGTGAACCTAATGAGAGCTGACAGTAATTTGAACACTTCTGGTAGTGTTTGGGGAGGTGAGAGGTGGCTGAGAATAGATAAGAGTCAGCTAAGATGCTGGCAGTGACTTGGAGGGGAAACAAAAAAAGCCTTCCACAATTGTTTTCTTTCCTTGGGAGTGATTCTGTTAGTTGCAGCTGTAAAAGCTGCTTCCTGGCAGCTGCTGTGGAAAGGTTTAAAACAAAAAAAAAAAGGCTTGGGCTTCCCAATGGGCTTTGGGATGTGCTCCCAGGCCTTGCCAGCCACCTTCCCAGGGACTCCATTTCCATTATTAAAACACTCATGGTCGGTAGCAGGATGAGCAGTTGCCCTGGTTTGGAAGAAGCAGCAGGTATGCTGCCACTGGTGACCCTGACTAAAGGGACACCTGTCCCAGGTCACCCACAGCACAAATTAAAGGGTCTGACTCAGAGGCAGGAATGGGGGAGCTGGTGGCAGGAGGAGGAGGAGGAGGGCTCTGGCATTTCCTTCTCAGGGGTGTTCTTTGAATCCAAAATAAAGAGTGGTCTGCCATGATGTGACCTAAGCAGATATGAATGTTCTGTAGTCCAAGGCTCCTTGGCACAGAAACAGAGGACAGAAGTGGCCTGTTCTGTGCTAGTCCATGTTTTTGTTTTCTGGGAGTCTCCTGTGACAGCAGCTCAAGGTTACTGTGCCCTGGTGCTGGCTAGCAGGCTGCTTTCCCTCCTTCAAGAGCAACTCTGTGCCCACTGCAGGGTGAGACCAGGACCTAGGAGTGTCCCTGGCTGTCCCTCTGCTGTCCTGCTGCAGGGAGATGCTGGTGCCAGCCTGGCCTGCTGGGCAGGGTGGTCCTGGTTCCGTGGGTGTCACTTTGTGTCCCCGTGTCCAGAGAGCAATGGCAGGGCTGTCCCCTGGGCTGTTCTCACTGGAGGATGCTGGAGGCATCAGCCACTGAGCCCAGCTGGGGCTGGCAGGGAGGGAGCAATGTGGCCACCAGTTAAAAATAAGTTTGAGTTTGGTATTTGTGGGGAGGATCCTCCTGAGGTGGCAGGAGCTGCTCAGAGGTGTGGGTCGGATGCCTGTGCTGGTCCCAACACCAAACAGATCCCAACAGCTTGGCTCTGTTTTCAGGGTGCTCCATGTGCCCATCTCCATCATCTCAAGCTCCCTGGCTGTGCTGACCTGGCAGCTGTGCCATGCTGGCACAGATGGGATTGCTGCCAGTGCTTATCCCAACACCAAGTGATGGTAGCAGGAGCTCCATGAGTGATTTGGGTGTGAGTGAAGCCTCTCTGTAAGAGACCAGAGCTACTGATTGTAAACTGGGCAGTGACAGAGACTCTGCCACCAGCTTGGCTGAGCTGCTCCAGGGTTTATCCTCCCTGGACATTAAAATCCATCCCTCATTTCTGACCTAAACCTGCCAATGGGATCCTTGCTCTGGGTTTGGGGCCAGTGCAGGCTGTGGTGGAGAAGGTCTGGGGCAGAAATGGCCAGGTTTTTGGGACAAGTGACTCCTGCAGAGCTGCTTACTCCCTGCATGGATTACCCAGAGTTAGGTTCACTCTGTTGGAGGGGGCTGCAAACACCTTGCAATTACTGTAAATGAAAGTCAAATCATTGTGGGAGCAACTTTGTTGTAGAGTTGAAGGCGTTAAATGGGACAAATCTTACAGGAGAGCTAATTCCTTTTATTAGGTGGGGAAAACAAATTAGCTGGGTACACAAGCCCTTTCTGACACTATTGTTGCTGTTATTATCCCTTACTGGCGCTGTTAGAAATGAGGGCATTGCATTAGAGGGAAGGCACATTATGCAAGTGTTTAGACGTGCTGGTAACTGCTCTCTGCTGACAGGTATTTACTTAATGACATGTTGGAGTGAAAGCCAGCAGCAAGGACAAGCTTTGGAGGGAGCTGGGAGTGCTGAGCTCTGCCTGGACCTCCTGGATCTGCCTGACACCTCCCACCCACAGCAAAACCCCTCTTCTGTCCGTCCTGACGATTGCACATTCCCAGACTGCATCCTCAGTGCTCTCCTGGAGCCAGGCCTGGCTCCCATGGTTGTGTGCAGCTTCCAGAGCTGCCCTGACTTGCTTGCAGCAGGTCTTTGTGCTGGTGCCTGTGCTGGAGGCAATGCCTGCTGTGGGGAGCAGTGGGACTGGTCACGTTTCCGGTGTCATGTGCTGTCCGTGACGGATGGCAGAGCCAGTTTTTCTGCTCCAAAAGTGGGACTGGGGAGGAGACCGCAACCCTCAAATACCCGGAGCCCTGGCTGCTGCTAGCCAGGCATCCAGGAGATCACTGCTTTTTCAGCTCCAGGTAAGGCCCTTCCCTTCCTCCCTTGTGCCAGGCAGGGAATTGAGACTCACCTGTGTGTTTTACGGGCTGGGCAAGCAGAGCAGGACAGTGGGGTGGATGAGGGGGCAGCAGGAGCATCCCTGGGGCAGCTCGTGCTCCATGTGGTTTTGGGGATGGCAATGGGGGCCTGAGCTCTGTGGGAAGGATTTGAGTCCCCTGGCTGAGATGGGAGAGGGCTCAGTGTGAGCTGGCTGTGCCTGGGGAGGGGTAAGGCCACTCAGGGTGTGAATACACAGGTTTGCTCTGCTCTGAGCCAGCTGCACCTTGTGCCCAGCTTGGCCGTGGACAATTGCAGCTGCTCCATGGGGACCATCAGCTGCTCCCTGGGTTTTGCTGGTTTTTCTGCCTGGGCTTTAGGAAACCAGCTCATCTGGGGCAGGCAAACCTGCCTGTGTGAAATGTGAGGCTCCAGAGGAACAGGCAAAACCAGATCTGCTGGTCCGGGGCGGGATGGAAGGGGAAAAAGCTGAGGGTTGGCATGGAGGCAGCACCCACGGAGGCAGCACCCATGGCAGGAGCTGCACAGGTGCTGGGTGGCTCCCCCAGACAGGGCTTGCAGAGCCCACCCCATCTCTTGGAAACCAGCAGGGTTGGTCTCCAGGGACAGAGGTAGCAGTGCAGGGGGGGATTAAAGGGGTTTAGCCCCCCATAGAGGCATTTCTTGGTTTGTGTTGGGGCAGAGCCATCCCCTCCCAGCCCTGGCTGCTGCACTTTGGTCTGGTTGTCCATCTCCCAGGGCAAAGCTCCATGTCCACCTCTGTGCCTTCCCTATCTGTACCCATCTGTGGCCTGTGCCTTCCCCAACTGCTCCCCTCCGGCAGTGAAGGCACAAGGCAGGAGAATCCTCATGGATTTGGGGCTGGGCACACCATGGGAGCCATGGGGCAGCTTTGGTGAGGGTCAGAGTATCACCTGCACCTTCTTCTATCCCTTCCCAGGGCTGCCTTTTCCTTTGTTAATGTTTGATTCTTTTTAATGATTTCAGATTAAAATGTGATTATTTTCAATTAGTAGTTGCACTTCTTAATTACGGAGATGAATTAGATTGCTGTTCATTATTAATTAGATTTTAACTTTGCACTGATTACATCTTCTATCAGTCACTTCCCACACTCCTTTCCTTCCCTTTCCATCCAAACTCCCTCTCCCCCTGTGCCACCCCAAACCCCACTGGTTTCCTGCTCCCCTGCAGCATCCTGGGGGTTTAAAAGCTGCCTAGAAAATAGAAATCAATGTTATCGGCTCACAGGCTGCAACTGCCTCCTTCAAAGGGCCAATAACACCAACCAGATGATGTCATTTTGTGGCTAAAAACCATTAAAAGGAAGCATTAATATTCTGCCTCCCTCCAACACTGGCTGGATGAGAAACTATTCCCTAATTGCCTGCTGGGGTGGATCTGCTCTTCCAGTGAGCAGAAGGGACCTGATCCCCTCACCCCTGCTGCCCTGCTTGTGTATGAGAGGGAGGGTTTGACCTGCCCAGGCTATTTCTTAGGCTTTGTTTGGGCTTCCTATTTCTAAAGCAAGCTGTTTCCTTTGCTTTCTTTTCATCTGTCACCTTTCAGGCACCTAATCAATGCTTGGGAGTTTTCTTACCCTTGCTCTTGGCTTCTTCTCTGCTTGCTGCTGTCTCTATCTCCCTCTCTGCCATCACCCTGTCCCTCAGGGAGGGTGTTCTTTCTGCTGGGGATTCCTAGGAGCCCCCACACCTGCTCTTTTTTGTTTCTTCCTCATTTAATTTGAAATACTTCTGTAATTTGCTTATGGTGAGGGGTTGTGACATCTCCCTGCACATTTTCCCTGAGATTTCCCTGCCTCCATCCCTCTCCACTTGCTGCTTTTCTGGGCAGAGGGGGCTGCCTGGGTAGGCACAAGGACTGGTTCTTTTGGGTTTTGTGTCATCCACAGATTTCCCCTGCTGTTTTGGGGAGTAGGAATTACACAGGGCCTCTGTAAAAACTGAATGTTCCAGGGAGGTGTTTTCATCCCTGAAAAACTCACCTTCCTCCACTCTCTCATTGCTCCTTCAGGTCCTCTGTGTTCCCCAGGTGTGACCGTCTCGTGCCCCTTGGTGAAATGTCGACAATCCTGAAATGTGAGTGTTTGGTGTGGGCCCAGGGGCACCTGCAGGGTTTGTGTGAGCTGGAAGCTGCAGGCTGGCAATGAACCCTCCTCTGTGCCCTGCTGCAGGGTTTGGACGGGAGGATAAGGAGAAAGAGGAGGACAGGAAAGAGAAGGAAGAGAAGGAGAAGGAAAAGACTGAGGGAGAAAAGGAGAAGGAGAAGCAGAAGAGGAGGAAGAAGGAAGAAGAAAAGGTAGGGGAATGATGGAGTTTTCTGCAGAACCATTGACATCCTGGCTGTAAGAGGAAGCCACATCTGAGCCATGGCAAACCTGTAACAGATGGAGCTGTGCTGCCCACAGCCTAGAAATCCCAGTGTCCATGGCTTTTCCACAATTTGCTCCCAGCATTCCTACTTAGATCTCCCTCCTTTTCCTCTCCAAATGGGATGCTGGTGAGGACAGCAATGCTCCTGCACTGGACACACTGCAATCCTTGCTCTTGGCTCTGGGGAGCTCTGTGCTGCCATGGTCACATGCAGTCCCACAGCAGCACCAGGGGTGCCAAGCCTGGCTCTAGATACCCACAGGACCAGAAATCTCTCTGCCTCCTGACTCTGAACTGCCAGGGCTCCCAGTGATGCTCTTCCCTCTCTCTTCACCCCAGCAGGGAGATGGGGAGGAGGACAGGAGCAGCAGCAGCTCTGACAGTGACTCAGAGGAGGTAACCCCAGCCCAACCCTGTGGGGTTTGCGCCTACAAACCCCAGTGTGGATGCTCCCAAACACCTGGGATGGGACACTCAGCACTCCCCTCACATGCTGTCCCTTTTATTTCTGCCCCAGGACCAAGGCATTGCCAAGGATGATGAGAAGGAGGACAAGGATTAGTCTTGCAGTGCTGGAGCAGCAGTGCACGCCCTGGCCATGCTGAGGAGGTGGAGATGGAAATGGCAAATTGAGCTGGAGAGCGACTGGGCCACTGTTAGCCAAATAAAGGTGTTGTGATCTCCAAAGATAAATGCTATTTATTCACCAGTCACGCTGCCTACCCAGCGCTATCTGTCCCTCTGGAAAAGGAAACACTCAAGGAAAGGCAATAACAGGTGGGGAGTGGGACTTGGGCGAGCAGGTCTTGTACAAGACCGTGACAGAGTCTGGAGAGAAATGCAGGGGCTCTGTGGGCTCGGTCTGCCTGGCTCTGCAGAGTCCTCCAGATCTGGCATCACCAGCATCTCCCTGTGCCCTGCACACTGTTGTTGTGGGATGGAGCAGCGTGAGCAGGGACAGACACCTGGAGCTGTGCTGAGCGGATAAAACTGATATCAAATTTATTAAAAACAAACGAAAAGCAGTTATAGGGGGGAAGAACCCGACAAACCTCTCTGTTTTCGCAGCGCTGACCCCAGCGCAGGGGCCGCGCCCGTTCATCCATCCCCAGCCCCGCCGAGCGCTGGCATCGGGCGCGGCGCCAGGAGAAAAACAAGCGGGAAAAATGAGGAAAAATGGGCTGGCACCGCCATCTACCGGGAATGAGACGTCTGGCAGCGGGGCCGCGGGTTTCATAACGCTCGGCTGTTTTGTAAGGCTCCCGCAGCGCTCCGGGGACAGGGAGAGAGCATCGGGGACAGGGAGGGAGCATCGGGGGCAGAGAGAGAGCATCGGGACAGGGAGAGCATCGGGGATAGGGAGAGCATTGGGGACAGGGAGAACATCGGGGACAGGGAGACACCAAGGGAGACAGGGAGAGGATTTGGGATAGGGAGAGGGCATTGGGGACAGCATCGGGACAGGGAGAGCACCGGGGACAAGGAGAGCATTGGGGACAGGGAGAGCACTGGGGACAGGGAGAGCATCGGGGACAGGGAGAGCATGGGGGACAAGGAGAGGATCGGGGATAGGGAGAGGGCATCGGGGACAGGGAGAGAGCACTGGGGACAGGGAGAGAGCATTGGAACAGGGAGATAACATCGGGGACAGGAGAGCATCGGGCATCGGGGACAGGGAGAGAGCATTGGAACAGGGAGATAACATCGAGGACAGGGAGATAACATCGGGGACAGGGAGAGCATCGGGCATCGGGGACAGGGAGAGGGCACTGGGGGCAGGGAGAGCATCGGGTCAGGGAGAGCACCAAGGACAGGAAGCGCTCCAGGATCAAGGAGTGCTCCAGGGACAGGGAGTACATCGGGGACAGGGAGATCACCAGGAGCCCTGGATGCTGGCAGGGTCCAGCCAGCAGCAAAAGGAACGTCGGAGCAGGACACAGGGCCAGCAGCCCTACCCAGTGCTGCTGCCAGCAGTATTAGGACAACCCCAGAAGCCTCACCATCAATAAAAACTTCAATGCAAACTTGAGCATGACCTCTCCCTGCTGTGTTGCTGCCTTGGTTTGCTTCCCTTAAGGAGTCTATTTTTATGAGTATTTTCTTGAGTAATGCAGATTTCAGGCAAACCCGAGATTAAAAGTCAACACAGCGGAGGATTTTACTTGAAACCACAGAATGTGGCTTTGGATGTTCTTTCTGTGGAACAAATGCAGCCAGCTCTTGTATAAGCACAACAAACAGCAGGAAAGATGCTGAGGAATGTTGTCTTAATTATCCAGCACAAAGATTAAAGGGAAAACACGAAGATGGGAAAAACAAACAACCCCAAAAGCTAAGCTGGGTTTCAGTGAGCTGGTTTGGCTTCAGCAGGAAAGGATTGATTTTAACTGCTTTATTGCTTCATGAACCCTTGGGTGCATTAATGTAAAATAATCCTGTGTGGGGTTATTTTACATATTTTACTTTTCCCTCTGTGCAAGCACACAGGACTCTTGCACAAGACACAAACTACTTCCAAATAGTAGACGGAGTTGCAGAATTTTACAGTCCCCTCAGGCCATGCTACTAAAGGATGGGAATATCTTGGCATAAATTCTGTGTTTGGACATGAAAAGGAGAGGCCTTGCCTTTGCTTTTCAAGATAAAGGTTGGAAACCTTTCAAGCATGGTGTGCCAGACTCTGAGGTTAAGCCTCCCTGTAGATGCTCAGTTGGAGCTGAGAGGTGTTGCATCTCATGGGAGTGGGATTCTGCTTTCCAGCTGTCAGGTCTTTAATCTAAAAGCCCTGAAATTGTCCTCTGTGCCTTGTGCCCTAACTCCCATAATGGGAGCCTGCAAATGTCTGTGTGGAGCTGACCCCACAGCCTCACACTGCCCCAAATCTCAGCACTTTCACGTGCTCAGGGCCAGAGCTGGGCACTCCCTGCAGTGCTGGGTCATGGTGAGCACCAGGTGAAGTCTTCTGCTCGTGTTTTACAGTCCCTGCTCCAGGCCATTGCACCAAGCTCTCTGGAAATCCAGCCTGTGCAGCCAGATCCCTGTGGCACAAGGGCAAAGAGCCAAACACACCCAGGACTGGCTGTGTGAGCATCCAGCTGGCTCCTCCAGCAGCCAAGCTCCTCCATCCTGCCTTCAGCACCTTGCCCTGCACGTGGCTCTCTCCCCTCTCCACCCTTGTTCTCCCTTCATAGAATGGCCAAGTTTGCCCAAAAAGTTGTGGAGGTGAAAACCATTTCACCTGGTGTCCCTCATTCCTCGTTGCATCTCAGCCCTGGCTTGAAGCCAGGTGGCATGAATGGGCACAGAGCACAAACATTCGTGCCAGCCATGGGGATTATGGCTCTAAAAACAGTGGAGGAGGCAAAAGGCAGGTGGAGCATCTGGCCCTTGGGGATGCTGAGGACCTTCAGTCAGTTCAGTAGCTCTCCTGAGGGACACATCCCCCAGCATGGCCTTGGTGTGCTGGGATGAGTGTTTGCCCACAGATGTGCTATCCAGCAGCTGCCCAAGCTCTGCTGGGCCTGAACTCTGGCTTCATTCCATGTTTTAACCATCTCCTCTGCTTGGAGCATCTGCAAGGCTCAACCAGAGGCTCCTTGGGGCTGCTGTGTCTTCAGCTGGCTGGGAGAGGAGCGTGGAGCACACAGCTGGGCCAAATGCCCATCACACCAGGCTCTGCAGGGGCGGAGTAGGAACAGACCAGCAAGAGGAACTGGCAGCCCTGGAGTTACTTAAGCAAGTCTTGTTTACACAAATTTATATAATAACTTTGGCTGGTCCTCGGGGAGCAGGAGGGGTTGTGCTGCCCCTGCTCACAGCATCTGGGGGTGCCTGCAGGGATCCTGCACAGCACGTGGCTGTCTGGGGCCTCAGAGCAGCAGAGATGCCAAGAGAGTTTAGATGTGGAGAAAGAATTGTTTCCTATACCATTTCATGCAGAGATGTCCCCAAATAAAAGTATTTTTCTATAAATGCCAAAAATTTTAGAACAGAAAGGTTGGGCCTTTATATTGTGATGAGACTTTTCATCTTGCATCTAGGGGCTTTGTTATATAAAGTGTCCTATTAGGGAAACAAGGCTCTCTAAGGTAGAGATCAAAAAGAAATCTTTCCTCTGTTCCCAAGTGACCTTCTTCACGGAAAATTTCAAGCTGCTTTTTCATTCCACTAAAAAATGGGAACAGTTAAAAATCCTCACTTTCCCAGAAAAGCTGATTCCTGCAGCCCTGCTTATGATCTGCTAATCTCTGCAGAGTGCTGGGCAGAGGTTCCCTATGAAACCACTCTCCTATTTTTGAGCTGAATAAAAAGAAGAGCAAAACTCAAATGGAACTGGGGTCATACAAGTGAAGGCTTTTCTGGAAGGTGAAATCCCTGCTCCTGCTTCCTGCACAGCACTCAGACTTGCTCCTCTCTATGATGCATCCTTCTACAACTTATCCCTTTATTCTGAATATCTGTAAACTAAGAGTCTTTGCTATGTTAATTAGCAGCTAAAAGTTATAGCAGAGCTTTATTCATGGGATTAATTGTCATAAAAATGATGCTGAGGATACACATATTTCCCAGCACCTTTCCCTCCCTTACTAACCTCTCTAGGATTCTGCATTTGCTCTTCCACAAGAGCAGAGCAGGTTGCTTACTCCCCAAACCTCAATGCAATAGCTTCCTAAAACCCACAGTGGAATGGTGCCAGGCTTCTTGCGAAGGAGAACCTTCAATTTGCCCTGGCAGATTCCCCAGGACAGGTTTCTGGGTGACAAATGTTCCGAGCAGTAACAGCCTGACCTCTTTAAGAGCCGTGACGTCCGTGCGTTATGAAAGGAGTGGCTTACCCAAACATGATTCACCTGCTGTTCAAAGTGCACCAGAGGTGGAGCCCAGCCAGCCTGGGCAACAAAGAGGCACAGACAGAAATATTTGTCTTCTCCTTGAGCAGAAAGCTCTGCCCAGGCCAGCACTGCTGTGATCAGGCCAGGGGTACACAGGCAGCTCTTTATAACTGTAGGAGAGAACAGCCCTGCTCATCCTGCCTGAAATCCAGCCCAGGGTGTGTTTAGGGCTTCATTCTGTCTGGCTGAGGGGAAGGGAAAGTGCAGGGAGACCCTGAGAGCCCTCTGCATTTCTCCCTGAGACTTCCAGGTGCTTCCTTCTCCCCATGGTCAGACAGAGCTTTTGGATGGAATTGAGCCACTGGCTTTGCAGGAGCTCCTTGTCCTCACCAAGAAGGACACACAGGGGTGGTGGAGATGCTGGAGCTGAAGGAATAAAGAACCAGGGTAAGGGATGAGGAAATCAGCCCCTGATCTGGCCTGAGAGCCCAGAGGCATCCCTGCAGAGGGCTGTGCCAGCTGCAGAGCCCACCCTGTGCCACTGGCACCTCCTCTGGCAGCGCTGGGTGCCCGCCAGCCCTGCTGGCATCTCTGGGAGCTGCACAGGAAAAGGGGAAAAGGAAGAAATGAGGGAGGCAGCACGTACTCGCTCCTTGCTGAGGCAGGGAGCCAAGGCCACGAGAGCTGCTGAGTGCCCAGCTGCAGTGACAGGCCACCACGGTGTCACCCCGGGCCACGGGGCAGGCACACGGACACACGGCAGCTTGGGAAGGGGCAGCTTCTGTCTGACCCTGCAGTAAAGGCTCATTGCAAATCTGCTCTCCCCAGCCAGAAGATGCAGATGATGTGACCTCCAGGTCTGGCCCACAGGGATGCAGGAACCTCTGGACACCAAAATTCTTGGAAGGAATGGACCTTGCTGCTATGTAGAGGTGTCTTCAGGGAGTTGTCTAGTTATGACTTTTCCTCCTTTAGTCACTTTGTTATGTTA